TGCCTCAGTTTTATCATCTGTAAAATAATTGTACCTGCCTCCCTGAGTTGTTGTGAGGATAAACTGAAATACTATTTATAAAGCATTTTGCAAACCTTATATCACTATAAAAATGCTAGCAATTATCATCATTAGTACTATGAAAAAGGAGGAGGAGGAGAAGATGGAAAAGGAGGAGGGCCGACAATGATGATGAGGAGGAGGAGGAGGAAGAGGAGGATGAGAAGGAGGAGGAGGACAAGGAGGAGGAGGAGAAAAGAAGAAGGGGGAGGAAAAGAAGAAGACAAGAGGAGGAGGAGAAGAAAGAAGGAACGAGGAGGAGGAAGAGAACAAGAATGAGGAGAACAAAAGAAAGAGGAAAAAGAGAAGAGTCTTTCATTTTCATTTAAAACTGCAGGAACATAGAATCCCTGGCTGCAAGAGACTTCAGAGGCTATCTATACAACTGTGCATACCCATCCAGGTTTTTGTTTTTTCTTATTTTGGGGGACTTCATTTCTCTATCTTGCCCAGGCTAGAAGTTCAGTGGCCACTCATGGGCCTGTCCTATCGACAGGCACAGGAGCTTTGGCCTGGTCCATTTGACTTGGGCTGGTCTGCCACTTCTTAGGTAGGCTGTTGGTCCCCTGTTCCTGGGAGCTCATCCTACTGATGCTGGACTTGGTGAGGACACTCTATCAGCTTTAGCCCAGCTGCAGTTTAGAATACCTTAAGTCCAAGCAATCCATTGGCCTCAGTCTCTTTGGTAGTAGTAACTATGGGCATGAGCCATCACCCCTGGCCCGGCCTTTTCCGAAAGACCTTCAGTGAAGAACTTACCCGCTCCTAAAGTAGCCCTTTCCACTTTGGGATCACACTAATAGTTAGAACCTCTTTCCCAACACAGCTGCAATCTGTTTCCCATCATCCTCCTGGTTCTCTAGGGCCAAGCACAACCAAGCTAATCCCTCTTCCATAAAACAGCCTTGAAATCCTTGAAGATGACAATCAGATTCTCCCTAAATCTCCTCCAGGTGAATTGTTCCCAGTTCCTTTAATTATTTCTCTATGACATTAGCTTCAGGCCTTTTATCATCCTGGTTGCCCTTCCTCTGGGCATTTTCTAGCTTATCAATGTGCGTTCTAAAGTGTGATGCCCAGAACTAGGTGTGGCCTAATGATGGCAAATTACAGTGGGACTATCACCTCCCTAGTCCTAGACTCCATGTCTTGTCTTAATGACCCCAGAGATTACATGAGCTTTTTTTGGCTGCCATATCCCATATTGACAAATATTGGGTTCCAAGTCCACTGTACTCCCCAGATCTTTTTCAACTACAGTGTTACCTAGTCATGCTTCCTTTGTTAGAATGTGTCCTTCTTTCAGTAACTGGTCTTCAATGAAGCTGTCATTGGATCTTTCATCTCTATGCCTTTCCATGTGCTGTCCCCCAAGCCTGGAATGCTCTCCCTCCTCCCCTCTCCTTCTTGGAACCCATAGTTCCACTCAAGAAATAGCTCAAGTGATACCTCAATTATGAGGTCTTTGCTGATTAGCTTAGTTGTTAGAGCTTTCCTCTAATCCTTAAAATTACTTTATATTTATTTTCCATATCATCTGCATTTACTTAACTCTGTATATGTTGTTTTTCTCCAATAATAATAATAATAATAATATTTGTATAGTAATTTAAGGTTTTCTAAGTGCTTTACATATATTATCTCATTTGATCCTCACAACCCTGCAAAGTAGTTGCTATTATTTCCATCTATTTTTTTCAGATGGAGGAACAGACTGAGAGAGGTTCAGGGTCACACAGCAAATCAATGTCTGAGATAGGATTTGAACTCCAGTCTTGTGACTTCAAGGGAGGAGGAGGAAGTGAATAAGCATTTATGAAACATCTACTATATGGGGGCAGCTTGAGTGTTTCTATTGACTACAAATACAAGTGCTGCTGGCACCCTCTAAATTTCAGCACCTTGGGACAAAGTTCCAGTTGACAAGCTCTAGTTAAGCTGTTCAGCAGTTAGGTGGTGCAGTGGATAGTGTTGTACCTGGAGTCAGGAAGATTCATTTTCCTGAGTTCAAAGCTGGCCTCAGACACTTACTAGCTGTGTGACCCTGGGAAAGTCATTTAACCTTGTTGACCTTACTTTCATCATCTGTAAAATGAGGTAGAGAAGGAATGGTATACCACTTCAATATCTCTGCCAAGGAAATCCCAAATGGGGTCATGATGAATGGGACATAACAGAAAAACAACAAAAACTTACTATATCCCAGGTACTATTTTGCAAATATTATCTCATTTGAGCCTCACAACAATCCTGCAAAGTATTATACCCATTTTTCAGTTAGGAAACTGAGGCAATGAGAAACTAAGTAACTTGCCCAAAGTCACACAGCTAGTGTCTGAGGTCACTTCTGAATACAAGACTTCCTGACTTCAATTCCAAATTTCTGTCCGCTGCACCACCTAGCTGCCTCTGAGGGCAGTGTGCTAGCCACCATACCAACTAGCTGCCTAGTAGACTATAAGTTCCTTGAGGACAGGGACTATTTTACTTTTCTCTTTGCATCTTCAGCACCTAGAACAGGGCCTGGCATATAATAGGCATTTAATAAGTGCTTACTGAATCAAATTCTATACCCAGGTGCCTGTTTTCTTAGCTGATTGTGCTCCCAATGCAACAGTAAGTTGACTCTGGAAGATACCATAGAGACCATTCCTTCCTTTCAGAATACAATAACAATAATAATGATGTGTTAGCTATAATAATTATTATTATTATTATTGTAGCTAACACTTGCATGGCATTAACCATTACCAGGCACTATGCTAAGTGCTTTACAGTTATTATCTTATTTGATATTACATCTTTCCAATTACCAGACTGAGAAGCAGATCTTCAGTGAAGACGGAGAAGAAACCAACACTTGCCATTGGATTTATCAATTTCCATTAGAATGTAAGCTCCTTGAAGGCAAAGACTTGCCTTTCTTTGTCTCCCCAATGCTGGCATGGAGTAGGTACTTTATATATTCTGGTTGACTTGATTGATTTTAGAAATGAGTAAACTGAAACTCAGAAAATGTATGAGTGGCCTATTGTCACATGACTGATAAGTACCAACTAGTAAGGATTTAAACCCTAGTCTATCCTACCTCCCAAGTCCAAGGTCATTCTATAAGGCCAATGACCTTAGAAAACTGGTGGGAGTGAAGACTACAGACTCATCTTCATTCCATTAAGCAACACCCCCAACAACCAACGCACTGCAGCTGTTGCCATCACCATCTCTAGCTAGCACTTTGTTCACATGAAGAACTCTTCTAAAGCTCAAGGTGTTGGACTTGTCTTCCCTCTCCCCAAATGCATTGTCAGTTTGATTGACTGGTACTTACTGGGATCTAGTCTCATTGACTGTCTTGCTGGATACCATTGAGGATCTGGAAGAGAACCAATAACAAAAAATATCAATTTAGTACCTACTATGCATCAGGCACTGGGGATATAAAGATTAAAATGAAATGGGTCCTGCCCTCAGAAAGGTTGTATTCTACTGAGAGAAAATGACATGTACATACACAAATCTATGCAAAATAAAGACAAAGTAATGGAAGTGGAGCAAGAGGCATTGGCAGCCTGTGGGCTAGGAAAGGCTTTGGAAAGAAGCATTTGATTTGAGTTTTGCAGGACAGTAAGAATTCTAAGATGTGGAGGTGAGGAAAGGCTATATTTCAGGCATGAGGGACAACCAGTGCAAGGGCAGGGAGGTCAGAGATGGAGTATTTTGTGTTAGGAGCAATAAGAAGGCCAGCTTGGCTGGACTGGAAAATGTGTGAAGGGAAATCATAAGGCCAAAAAGAAGAATGGGGCCAATTTATGCAGGGGCCACACAGAGGGGTTTGTATTTGATCCTGGAGGCAACAGGGAGCCATTAGAATTTATTAAGGAGGGAATCAATGTGGTCAGAAAATGACTTTAGTGATTCTGTGGATGATAAATTGGAGTGGGGAGAGGCAAGGAACCCAATTAGGAGGGTATTGCAAAAGGGGATTGAAAGGTGTAAAAGGTTAGGCAGAAGGTATTGAAAGTCTGTGAGTGGAGGGAAGTGGGTGAGCGAGAGAGACGTTATGGAGGAAGAATTGGCAAGACTTTAGCAACTGATTAGATATGTGGGCTGAGGGACGATGAGGAATTGAAAATGACATCAAGGCTGAAATCCTGGGTAACCAGATGGACAATGGTACTCTCTACAGAAATAGTGAGGTTCAGAAGGAGTACATTAGGAGGAAATCAATGAGTTCTGTTGTGGACATTTTAAAGATGCCTGTGGGAGTTCCAGTTCAAAATGTTCAATAGAGATCCCAAAAATAACGGGCTTGAAAAGATACTCAAATTTGGTCAGCTACAGGAGAACCAGACAAAGACATTGTGAGGTCAAGCTAACTTGTTTTTTTATTATTATATTAAGAGTATACTCTTATAATAATATATATAATAATAATATATTATATTATTATGTTAAGAGTATACTCAATATGAGAATTAGATCAGTAGTGCTTGAAACTCACATTGAACTCAAGTGAAACTGAGGTACCATCATAGTTGACTTAAAATATTGCCTTTAGATGTATAAAGAAAAAAGGAAATCATTTTGAGACACATTACCATTTAGAATTTTCTATTCACAAAGTTCATTTCTAAGTTAGGTAGGTCTTTCTCTAAACAAATCAATAAAATTAGCATTAATTGTCATCGGTATATATGACAGTTACAATGAATGGGATGTCTGGGTTTGGCATACTTTAGAAAACATACGCACTACTTACAAAATTTATGGAACATCAATCTGATGTCATTAATTGAGGCATGTGGTTCAACCTAGATATCAGAAGTATTTGCAATTAACAAATGAACAGAGATGCATTTTAATTAGGACATACATAGATAGATTAGTCAATTTCCTGTAACATGGCTCAAATCTGGAGAATTGAATATTTCCCAAGATTGGTAATGGACAAGGATGGTTTTCCTCTCTGGGGGTTCAAATTAATCAAATGATTCAAATTCACTAGGGTATGAAGTTGACTCAAGTGAGGTGTCCCCAGGATTTAATCTAGAGGCAAAGATCTGGCTGGACCAGGAAGGCTGAAAGACTTTTTTTTTTTGCATCTATTGCAATTGACTCATCCATAACAGGAGTGGAGTTCTTGGCTGGGATTATGTGGATAAATTGGTGCTATGCCACCCATTCTGAACCTTAGAAAGGTATGATTTGCAGGAAACAAGGGTTTTTTTTTAAAGAATTATAAAATACTGAGCCATAACCAGAGTGGGATGAGTGGGGCTTTGTCCCTAAACACCAACAATCTGGAGAAATGCTCTTCTCCCTACAGGGGTTCTCCTAGAGCCATGGAAATCCAGTCCCTCTCCTGCTGGTCCACCAGCCTTTCCCTTATTACCCAGCCTCTTCCCCAGTCTGTCCTAGGAGACTGACCTCTATGCATGCCCACCCCCTACCTGAATTTTCCTCAGGACCCAGAATTCTTAATCACAGTTTTGATGAAGTGACATTTTAGCAACATTTTTCATGGATTCATTGGATTTACCTTATCCAGAAAGCATAATTGTTTCTTTGTCTTGTAGTCAAGGATTTCTACCTGTGGGGGAGGGAGAAAACAGAAAGAATCCCACTTATTATCAGTACCTTGCTGATTATCTCACCCTCTCAACCTGTCAAACATATGAAAACTTGTCTTAGGGACTCTCCGTATATGCTTTCAGGTGGAGTAGTTATAAATAAAAAGCCACTTAAGGTGATTATGGAGTGCCACCTGGCAGGACAAAAGTCTTCATCTGCTTCTTCAAAACCTCTGTGTGTACGTGTGTGTGTGTGTGTGTGTGTGTGTGCGCGCGTGCAAGATACTCAAAAAAACTATAGCAAAAATTTTTCTGCTATTTCCTTTTTAGTCTTCCATATCGTCTATGGACTTCAGTTTGGTTTTTTAACAGTGTCTAATAAGTCCTTAGAAAGTCATTCAAACATCATGCATGTCAATCCGCTCCCTACCCACAGACTACCAATGTGGGGTTTACATGCCATATTTACTGTTTAGAATTCCCTGTAGCTCAAAGCCCTTGGAACATCTTCTCTCTTCCACTTACCCACATCTTACTCATTTTTCAAGTTCTACTTTCTCTAGGAAATGAAGGACCTTGCAAAGGTGAATTACTCTTCTGTTGGGCACTGAAAGTCCTTCACAATTCAAAAAGCATGCATTAAGTGCCTGGTATGTGCCAGGCACTGTCCTAGGTGCTGAAGATCATGAGGAAACAAAAGTAAAACAGGTTTTACCCCAATCCATCTTTCCCATCTCCTTGTACATGACTTCCCTTCCTGCACTCAATTTAGTCAAACTGGCCTTCTTCCTATTCCTCACCTAAGACATGTGCCGATCTGTTCCTCATCTTCTACATCTTTGCATTGGCTGTCCCCCACGGCTGGAAGGCATTCCCTCCTCTACTTCTACTTCTTAGAATCCCGTCTCCTTCAAGGCCCAGCTCAAGCACTGCTTCTACATGAGAACTCTTCTGATTCTTCCAACCACAAGTGCTTTCCCTAGTGCCCTGCTATGGACTTTTGTTCCTTTTGTCTTTCTCTGTGCCTGACACGGAGTAGGCTCTTAATAAATGCTTGTGAATCGATTGGATGTATTTCTACAGGCATTAAGGTTTATAAAGCACTTTTCCCTCATCACAATCCTAGAAGATAGGTGGAGCAAATATCATCCTGATTTTTGTAAATGAGGAAAATGAGGTTTAGAGAAGTTTAATGACTTGTGTAGGACGACACAACTCCTAGATGTGAGGACTGGAGATGGACCCCCGATCTCCTGATTCTGAGACCAGGACTCCTCCTCCTGCATTACCCTTCCTTGAGGATGGAGATAATGTTATTTCATACTGTCACAGATTTAGAAATTTAAAAAAAACCCTCAGAGGCCATCAAATCTAATTCCCCCACTTTTCAGATGAGGAAACTGAGTCCAAGAGAGGTTAAATGTCTTGCCCATATTGTACAGGCAAGGAAGGATAAGAGCCTGGATTTGAATTGAGGTACCATGACTCCAAGTTCATCATTCTTTTCTCTGTGTCATGCTGCCTCCCCTGACTTTATATGGCAGGGTCTCCAGTCCCTGCTCTCCCTTGTACTCTTAATCCTTACACAGTGCCTTATGTAGAAGATCCTGTTTAACAGACATTCAATGAATTGAAATTCATTGAATTGGGTTGGATTAAACTGAATTCAATTGTATATTCCGAGGCAACACGAACCCTGCTAAGAACAAATAGTCCCGAACCACCCTCTTCACATGCCTCTTGATTCTGGGATTCTATCCAGCAACATAAGGCACATTCTCTGCCACCCTGGCAAAGCCAAACTGCTAGAGATCTATTTACAGCCAGCAGCTGAAACTGCACACCTATGCACTCACCTGAAGAGCAATACAAAGAGTGTTCTGTGCCCCCAGTTAGCTTCTCACCACTGGCACACTTCAGGCTTGTCTCACAGCTGCTGCCTCTGCCTCCTCTGTCCTTGCTAGGTTCCCAGTTTTGGTTCATTAACTCCAACCCTGCCAGTAAAATGGCCTACTCTTGTTGGGAGCCACAAAACTGGACTTCCTGTTTTCAGGGGATCTGACAAAACATCCTGATCACCACGACTTTTAATTGGTGGCCTGAAGGAAAACCCAAGAATGAGGGCAACCAATGTGCCAGGTTCTGGGGCTGACGTTACAAGTTGTGGGAGAAGGGTGGCTGTCTATATCAGAGGTGTCAAACTCAGGCCACAAAACTCCCAGGGTGCAAAAACCTAATTAAAATGTAATTGGGAAATGTTTAACAAAATAAATAGAGAAACAATACAACATATTGTACAGCATGTTAATTTGTAGTTTTATGTCAATATATGATCCACAGGCATCTGTTTCTATTTGTGTGTGACGGTTCTGGTGTTCATGATATGATTTCTGAGGGGTGATTTATGCCTGAAATTCCACAATTAAAATTTCATTCCTTTTGCTTAAGCCAAAGAAAGGTTAGTCATTTATATTCCATTGTGATGTTATAGAAGAATTGAGGTTCAAGAAGCCCAGGTTCTATTCCCCACCCTGCCATTCCTTCCCTATATGACCTCAGGCAGGTTGTTCAGCCTCTCTGCACCTCAGTTTCCTCATCTGTAAAATGAGTAGATAGTGCTAATGACCTTTAATAATTATAATAGCTAGCATCTATAAAGCACTTTAAGGTTTACAAAGCACTTTAATTATATCATTTGATCCTCATAACAACCTGGAGGTAGATGCTATTACTATCCTCATTTTACAGATAAGGAAACTGAGGCTGAGAGAGTTTAAGTCACTTGCCCAGGGTCACAAAGCTAATAAGGGTGTGAGGTAGGATTTCACTTGGGTCTTCCAGCACTCTCTACACCATGCCATCTAGCTGTCTAGATCTCAGTATTTAAAATGGCCCCAAAGATGGTCTAAGCCATCACATACCTTAATAGGAATACCTTCTATATGGATAGATGTGAGTACCCAGCTTCTGCCTAATGACCCCTAATATGAGAGGACCCAGAACAGTATAGTGGAAAGAGCAACATCTCGGAGTCATAGAACCTGTGTTCAAATCCTCCCATCAATGCTTAACCTCTGTCGTTAAACATTCACCAGCATCCTTGTGTGCCTATCAAGTCCATACTATTAGACCCGGCCTATGGATACAGCTTGTCAAGATCTTTGTGAATTCTGACTGTTGTTATTGTTGTTGTTTTCCTTTGTTCTCAAAGAGGACCAATGGCATCACAAGCATGATGTCTTGACTTGCTCATGAATTGCATTTGAATGAGGCAGACCAGTGCAGAGTAGATGACCTTGCTCTCCTCCACTCTTGTGTGATATTTTAGCAATCCCTCTTAGCTGTGTGTCACCTGAAAACGTGATCAGCTTAGCCTTCATGGAGCTAATTTATAAAAATGTTGAACAGAACAGTCAGGGACAGATCCCTGGGGTGCTACACCTAGAGGCTTCCCTCCAGTTTGACACTGATTGCATAATTCACTATTTTTGAGGTCCAGTATTTTAATCATTTCTGAATCCAACTAACTCTACTACAGTCTAGCCTGTGTCTCTCCAGCAAGTCCACAAGGCTATCACAAGAGACTAGAACAAATGTCTGACTGAAATCCACACATACTGTCTACAGCAATGTCCTGTTCTATCCATCTAATGACAGTCCAAAAACGAAATAGGGTTAGTATGGCATGACCATGACCTATTCATGAAGAAGCCACGCTTGTCCTTAGCAATCACTGTTTCCTTTCTAATTGTTCATAATATGATCCCTTTAATTTTCAGATTTTTGCAGGAAATTAAAGTCAAGCTTATTGGTCTATAAGGTGAAGACCCCAACCCTGTTCCACATTTTAAAAGTCAGGACAGGGGCAGCTAGGTGGCGCAGTGGATAGAGCACCAGCCCTGGAGTCAGGAGGACCTGAGTTCAAATCCAGCCTCAGACCAAACACTTGACACTTACTAGCTGTGTGACCCTGGGCAAGTCACTTAACCCCAATTGCCTAAAAAAAAAAAAAAGTCAGGACGGGGCAGCTAGGTGGCATAGTGGATAGAGCACCAGTCCTGGAGTCAGGAGAACCTGAGTTCAAATCCAACATCAGACACAAAATACTCACTAGCTGTGTAATTCTGGGCAAGTCACTTAACCCTGATTGTGTCTCCAAAAAAAACATTGGGACAGTATTTCTCTGGCTCCAGTTCTGCAGCACTTCCTTCATTCTCCAGGATTTTTTAAAGGTCATTGACAATCGCTCAGCAGTCACATCTACTAGGTTTTTCAGACTTTTGGAATGCAGTTTATCTGGGCCTAGTGACTTGAATTCATTGTTGAAATAATAATAATAATAATAATAACTATTATTAATATCAACATTATTATTATCTGGGCCTAGCAACTTGAATTCTTTGGTGAAATAATAACTACTATTATATTAACATTATTATTATTATTATTATTATCTTGGCCTAGTGACTTAAATTCATTGTTGAAATAATAATAATTGCTATTAATATTGTTATTATTACTTACTGGGCCTAGTGACTTAAAAACATTGTTGAAATGCACACTCACTATCTACTCATTCATCTTGAGTTCTAATTTACTGTTGGTCATTTTTGTTCTGTCCTTCCCAGTCTCAAGATCATTCTTCACAGACAAAACAAAAGCATATGAGAAATATTTTCACATTCTCTCCATTAACCCATCCACTACAAGAAGTAGTCCTATCTTGTTCACTTCTCTCTTGTTTTCAATATAGCTTTAAAAGGTCTTTTGTTGTGACTATTAGCCTGAGTTATTTCAATATAATTTTTCTAAAGACTGTGCTATCCTTTTGTTTTTGTCTACCATTATCTGCCCCCCTTTTCTCTCTTCTATGTGCTTTCTAAAAATTAAGTTGGTCAGTGAGTTCCCTGTGTAATCACATTGGTCTTTTTGGACAAGTTACCCTTTCTTCCTCGTTAGGATAATTGCTGTCAACAGAATTTCCCACTTGAGAAGTTCCCACCCTTTGGGGACCAATTTC